GGTGGAGCTAAGGGACCAGCCCTAGATAACTACCCAGCAGATAAGAGGGGATGCAGACAGGGTTTAAACTCTGTCCTTGGTCTATCTGTCTTAGAACAGGTCCCTGGAAACACGCCCTGAATTAACCAAGAGCCTCCTCCCACTTTCCCAGGCTGTTTATCTTCAGATTAGCAGTCTAATAATCACCCGTAAACCAGCCACAGGGCTTCCCAGAACCCACACCATCTAACGATCCAGAATCCAACAATTAGGTGTCTAAGATGTGTCATAGAAAACAGAAATCCATGCAAGCTGGCGCTTGGGCTCATTGAGGACTTTCCATACACCAGGTTCTAGGTTCACAAAGGAAATGAACCAGAGGGAACAGAGGTTAAGAGCCACAGTTGCCCCCATGACCTCTCAACTCCAGATCCTGAGGGAACAGATGCCTCTGACCTCTGTGCACATACCCACGGGTAGGCGCACACATATTCATAATTTTAAAATAACAGCAAAAATTTCATGCCGAGTGGTGACGGCACAGGCCTTTAATCCCGGCACTCAGGAGGCAGAGGCAGGAGGATCTCTGAGTTCAAGGTCAGCCTGGTCTACAGAGCCAGTTCCAGGACAGCCAGGCCCACACAGAGAAACCCTGTCTCAAAAAACAGGAAACAAACAAAATTCCAAATACATACAAAAAAGGAAAATAAACACAACATCTTCCCTCAAGAGCAAGTGGCCTGAACATTTTGCTGATGCCTAATTATAAAGACAAAGTGCAAATGAAGCGATCTGGGAAAGGTAGTTTTGTCCCCAGGGAAGAAGGTATGCAGTGCCAACCTTCAGGGTCAGGTAGCCAGGGCCTACACACTAGAGGTGGACGCCCGGCATTCCATTGAAGAGAATTCATGTCCTGGCTTGGGGTTTGGTTTTTCTTTTCCAGTCCCGGTAATGTGTTCCTTACTCTTTTTGTTTCTAATTTATTTATTTTTATTTTATGTGCACTGGTGTTTTCCTGCATGCACATCTGTGTGACAGTGTTGGGTCCCCTAGAACTGGAGTTACCGATAGTTGTGAGCCGCCATGTGGGTGAAGGGAATTGAACCCGGGTCCTCTGGAAGAGGGGTCAGTGCTCCTAACCGCTGAGCCACTTCTCCAGACCCCGTTTGTTAATCTTAAAGTCTCACTTTTGACTGGACTAAGCAGGCTCTCCCAGCAAGGACAGCCTATGCCTGTCTTTTGACAATCCGTTCCTGGTGTTTTTCTTCAGCTTCCTTCATTCTCTTGGCCAAAAGTTTAGCATGTTTCTACAGCCTCCTCTTCGTTCTTCTGGGTGTATTGTTTCTTCAGAGCCACATGTTGGTATTTCTGTCGCAGGACACTTGGAGTAACGAGGCGCTGAGTTTTGGGCAGTTTGGTCCTGGGCTTCTCCGCTTGTTTAAGGGCTTTCAACAATGTATTTGTCAGATTTGTGCATCCTGTCTCTAGTTCTGCTTGGTTCTAAAACAAGAATGCCCAGCTCAACAGCAGGCTCGCTCTACCCACAGTCAAGACACCTACTTCAGAGGATAACCTTGTTTGTTGTTCCCACCACTGATTCGGACCTGACAACCCTTCCCTTCACCCAGAGCATCAGCTGCTACATGCATGTGTGGCCATGCACATCTCACAGAAAGTATAAACGCTTTCGTTCATTACCCACTTAAATGACGTTCTGTCAACTGGTGGCTGGGAAGGAGATTCCTAGCTTCATATTGACACAGGGTTGTGAGTGTTTTTGTTTTTGTTTTGTTTTTCATTTTGCATATCTTTATTTGATATGTGTGGGTTGTATGTTGTACAGGCCAAAAGAGCTTATCAGATGTCAGATTTCCCAGAAATGGAGTTAGGGACATTTGTTAACTGTTAAGTGAGTGCCAGGAATTGAACCTGAATCCTCTGCAAGAGTAATCAGTGTCCTTAACCACTGAGCAATCTCTCCAGCCCCCAGGGGTGTGTTTTTGAGGCGAGACTGGCCTCAAACTCCCTACACATCTTAGGATAACCCTGAATGTCTGGTCCTCCTGCCTCTATTGTTTGGTTGCAGGGATTACAGATGGAAGCCATGAGTTTGAGTTCCATCCACACTATTCCTTAGACCCTGGAGGCTGCCCTTGTAGAGATCAACCAGGCCTTATACCCTATTTAATACATACCCTAAACTTCTAAAGTCCTAGCATGTAACATTCCAAAGGTGGGGTGGTGATTGGATTAGCTTCATAAATTATGATCTGAGGCCCTATCGAGGATTTTCTCTAGGCCGCTAAGCTCAGAGCTGCTTAGCTTCGGGGCCTATACATGTAAGGAATTTCCTTTGTCCTGGTTTTTCTTTCTTTTTTTTTTTTTTTTTTTTTTTTTTTTTTTTGCTGCTGGATCTTATTTCAGCTTCCCTTGGTGCGAGTCAAGCAGCCAATGTTATTAAAAGGCCCGGCCACCTAAATCCATCTGGAGACATCTCTACGGGATCTGTGCTCTAGTCTGAGCAGAGTTCCCTGCTGACCCTGCAGGGTGAAGGTTTCTCTTGAGAAGCATCTCCTGTTAGGCTGCCCTTGAACTCATAGAGATCTGCCTGCTTCTGCTTCCAGAGTGCTGGGACTGCAGACTTGAGCTACCACTGCCATGCAAGGCCCAAGATCTGTTTTATTTTAATTATGTATGTGGGGGGGTAGCATGTACACACGTGGCAGGGTCCTATAAATGCCCAGCGGCTGTGATCCATCCTATGCATGCTGGGAGCCAATAGGTGCTAAGCCTCATCCCCAGCCCCTTCCCTGCTGCCCCACGTCAGGAACCATCCCAGTGTCTCAATGGGTCACAGTCATGACTAGTCCTCTCTCATGACCTCTTCCCTGTGGCAGGATTTGCCCAGCAGCGCTGACATCATCCCAGAGCTTCTCCCCAGGCCCGGCAGGATCGGGCAGGGCATACAATGAGGGTTTGTGGAATGGCTGAATGAACCCAGGCTGCAGCGTCAGGCATTGTAATTTACAAAGCACTTTCCCATCCATTAACTCCAGGGCCATTCCCTAAGAGTCCTCCCCATCCTGCACTGCCCTCAGCACAGAAGTGTGTGGTCCAGGCAGCTGCTACGTAATACACACTGGCTGGATGAGAGGAAGGATGGCTTGCTCACGGAGAAAGGGAGAATCCATTTCAGGAGCCCGCAAGTGTCTTGACAAGGGCCTGCTCTCACAAGATATCTCCGAGTGTGAACAACGTCTGGTCTGGGGGCACAGTGCCTGTGAAGTATCTTAAATCACCAGGTGTGTCACTATGGCCATTCCTATTTAACAGATCACAAGTCTGAGTCCAGAGAGGCGGTCCGTGTACCTGTCTCTATTAGTTCCCCAGCATCGGGGGCCACATTGGTCAAGACACTGAGGAACCTCCCAGTTGCACAGGAAGGAAAGCAGGCAGCCCTCCCTTCAAGCCCAAGCTGCAGTGTGTAGTCGGCGGGTCCGTCTCTGCTGTGTTACCTAAGATGGCAGGGCAGAAAGCCCACCGAGGGCAGCCATCCTGTGTGTCACCCTGCTGGTTCTCAGGTGGCACCATCATCCTGCTGCCTGTTGCAAAACTTGCCACGAGGCTTCATAAATAAGTACTCAAGTGATCAGGGCAAGCCACCTGCTCTTACCAATACCTCCCCCTGCAAAAGCTCAGACATCTTAACACTTAAGAGGTAAGGAAAGGTCCACCTGCCAGTGGGCTGAACCCATTACAACTGCTCTGTGAACATTCCGCCTGTTTGACATTTATTCCCAGGTTTGAGCCTGGGCTGGAAGGTGAACCTCCTCTCTTCCAGGTTGCCCACTTCTGGTCTTGAATAAAGAGTCCTACAACCTCTTTTCTCCAGGGCCTGGGGAACAGTAAAAACTCTGCTCGCCTCCAAGACTCCAGTGCGCCCTCTAGCGGACTGGGGCGCGAGCTTAGGCGCAGGGGTCACGGTTTCCTCCCTCGAGCTCCCCCGCGGCGCCAAGAGCACCCGGGCCAACGCAGCTCAGCACGCAGGTTGGGAGACCCAGATGAGTTGATAGGGTGCTAGTTAGCGGCTTCCTCCCCCACCCGGCGCGCGCAAAGGGCATCAGCACCCACGTCTGTCACCAAAGACCCAGGCAGTGGGCCAGTGAGCCGAGGCCCGGCAGCTGCCTCGAAGCCAGTATCTCCTCTCCCAGCGCCATCCTTTGGACCTGTCCACAGGTAAATGTCGCGCATCCCCCCCCCCTCCACCTTCACTTCCTAGATCCCCAGTGAGCTGGCTGCGGAATGGCCCTCCCTCCCTTTTGGCAGGCACGGGGCTGCTTGGAACTGTAAATGAGGACCTTGGGGTGGCCTGGATGGGGGCGAGGGGAGCGTCCCCAAGCAGGGTCCAAGAAAAAGGGAAGGGGGTGTCTCGGGAGCCTCTCCAGGCCGACCTCCTAGAACTGCCCGCGCGCGCTCCCACCGCGGCGCCCCCGCCTCTGCCAGAAACCAGCCTTCTTAGAAGGGAGGGGGTGGGGGAAAGTGTGAATGAGAAGTTGGGGGCGGAGCGCGCGGGGGAGGGGCCGCTGCCAGGAACGCTCGGCCACGGCTGGCGCCGCGCCTGCCGGTCGGGCAGCCTCGCGCCGCGCTTTGTCTCCCTCTCCGTGAGTCTCGGCGGGTCCTGGAGGCCCCAGCTCCAGGCCCGCCCTCGGCCGCCCGCGGCCCCTCCCTCGCCCTCCGCGCAGAGCCTTTCAGTGCAGAGTAGTGACTAAACATTACAAGAAGACGGGCCGCGCAGTTCCAGGAATCGGGGGGCGGGGCATGCTGGCGGCGTAAATACCCGCGCGCGCGGCCTCGCCGGTGGCTCTAACTCCGACTCTTCGGCTCTCCTGCTCTCACCCACCGCTGCCTCTCCGGGCTCCCGGACGCCCCCTGCCCGGCCCAGCTCTCTGTCGTGGCCCCTCGCCCGGGTCCTTTGCCTGATCCATCCCGGGCCGCGCCTGATCGGCCCCGGGGGCAGCGAAGCCGGAGGGAACGCACGCACCGGGAGCCCCTTTGTGGACTTCACGACCGCCAACATCTGGGCGCAGCGCGGGCCACTGCTGGCCGCCGCCTCGCCTTGGGGACCGTAGGAGGCGCAGCCCCGAGGCCGGAGACTTCGCTTCGGGACTAGGTAGGAAGGAGGGGCGCGGTGTGGGGAAGGGTGGGGGCCTCGATCCAGCTCGGGAGCTTTTCCCGGTTTCTCCTCCCCTTCCCGGGTCATTCCCGGTAGGGAGGGGACGAGGTAGGGGGCAGAGCGGATGAGAGCCGAAGATCCCGGGTTCCCGTAATACTCGGACTGGGGCCCTTGGGCTTCTCCAGTCCCCTCTCCCACACATCTCGGGTCTGTCACCCCCCTTTTCGTCCTCGCCGCTGAGGGCACCGGACTGAGCGGCGCCCTGAGCGTCTCTGGGGCTCTTGTCTCCCTCCCCATCCTGGCAGTGCTCCTGGATACCCAACTTCCACTCGCGAGTTTCTCTCGGGTGCTCTCCCAGGGCGCGCTGGGGAAGGGACTGTCTGGGGTTGGCCGGCTGGGACCGAGGCCGGGGGAGCTCCGCGAGGTGGCTGGGTCCGAGACTCGGCCTTCTGCGGGGCAACCGGGTGCCCCGGGCGCTCGGCGGAGGCTGGAGGGCTGGGCACACTGGAGGGTTCCGGGTACTCACGCGCCGGGCGCTTTCCTCTCCGCAGCCCCCCGGGATGCGGTAGCGGCCGCTGTGCGGAGGCCGCGAAGCAGCTGCAGCCACCGCCGCGCAGATCCACGCTGGCTCCGTGCGCCATGGTCACCCACAGCAAGTTTCCCGCCGCCGGGATGAGCCGCCCCCTGGACACCAGCCTGCGCCTCAAGACCTTCAGCTCCAAGAGCGAGTACCAGCTGGTGGTGAACGCCGTGCGCAAGCTGCAGGAGAGCGGATTCTACTGGAGCGCTGTGACCGGCGGCGAGGCGAACCTGCTGCTCAGCGCCGAGCCCGCGGGCACCTTCCTTATCCGCGACAGCTCGGACCAGCGCCACTTCTTCACGCTGAGCGTCAAGACCCAGTCAGGGACCAAGAACCTACGCATCCAGTGCGAGGGGGGCAGCTTTTCGCTGCAGAGTGACCCCCGGAGCACGCAGCCAGTGCCCCGTTTCGACTGTGTGCTCAAGCTGGTGCACCACTACATGCCTCCCCCGGGCGCCCCGTCCTTCTCCTTGCCGCCCACGGAACCCTCCTCCGAGGTGCCTGAGCAGCCGCCTGCCCAGGCGCTCCCCGGGAGTACCCCCAAGAGAGCTTACTACATCTATTCTGGGGGCGAGAAGATTCCGCTGGTACTGAGCCGACCTCTCTCCTCCAACGTGGCCACCCTCCAGCATCTCTGCAGGAAGACCGTCAATGGCCACCTGGACTCCTATGAGAAAGTGACCCAGCTGCCTGGACCCATTCGGGAGTTCCTGGACCAGTATGATGCTCCACTTTAAAAAGAGCAAAGGGATGGGGGGGGGGGGCTGGGTCGGTCGCCTGTCCTCCGCGGCACATGGCATAAGCACAAAAATCCAGCCCCAATGGTCGGTAGCTCCCAGTGAGCCCCGGGGCAGGTAGGCCTCTTCCTCAGGCCCTTGGCTTTGCGGAGTGGGTCAGGCAAGACCTGGAATGTGTCTGAGGGGAGCGGGAGTTGCCACCTGCTTCCCCTGCCCCAGCTCCAGCTTCTTTCCCAAGAGAAGCCTGGTGGGACAAATAGCATCCACAAGCGCACTGTCCTCTCCTACCCTTCCTCCACACCCCTCTGCTTCCCCAAGGGAGCTGAGGGAGGGAGGGAGGACACCTCGAGCGAGTGTTGAACTAATGAGAACCGCAGGGGGATCTCCAAACTTTCCCACGGAACTTGTTTGCCCTTTGATTTGGTTTTAAATCCTGAGCGGGGCCCAGGCCTTGGGGGAAAGATGGAAGAGAAGAGGGTGTGCGGTGGGCGGCAGGCTGGCCAAAGACATGACCACTCCCACTGCCCAGCCTAGTGGTGGCTCCTGGCTCTAGGAGAGACAAGGGGTGACCTAGAGAGACATTCTGGTGCCAGGCTCCTTTCCCTCGGGGCAGCTAATGAGACCTCTCAGATCCCTCTCTAAGGGGTCAATGGCATGTGGGAGGGAGATGGATGGGGCTGGTCAGTTAGCCACCTTTTCCAACCTCAGAGGGAGGCAGATGAGCAGATGAGCCATCTCGGAGCCCAGGTGTCCTTAGAGAAGATGGGGGACCCTTTGTTTCTCCAATGTCAGGCTAGGAGACTTGCCTTAAATGCCCTCTGTCCCATGGATAGGGATGGGCGCATGAGGAGCCAAATAGCCAAGAGGCAGAGCTTAGGGGTTCACCCAGTGGCTGAAGGCCAGGGGAAGGGGTGCAGGAGAGACCCTGACATGCAGCAGACTCCTGAGCGATCACGGGGAAGAAAGCGGCCAGTCTTAGACACCTCTTGGTCAGCAGAGTCCCCACGTCCCAGGGTCCCCCCAGGACCTGCACAGCCTCCTCCCTTCTCACCTGGGGTGGGGTGGGGCAGGAGGTGACGGAGAAGCCTTCACCTGCCACTCACTCCACAGTGGCCACTCACAGGAACGCAGCAGCCACGGAATTACCTGGAACAAAAGTTTTGTGAGTCAGGTATGGGGCTGGGTGGGGCAGCTGTGTGTTGGGGTGGCTTTTTCTCTCTGTTGTTTTGAATAATGTTTACAATTTGCCTCAATCACTTTTATAAAGATCCACCTCCAGCCCGCCCCCTCCCCATTCAGGCCTCTGAGGCTGTTTGAAGATGCTTGAAAAACTCAACCAAATCCCAGTTCAACTCAGACTTTGCACATATATTTATATTTATACTCAGAAAAGAAACATTTCGGTAATTTATAATAAAGAGCACTATTTTTTAATGAAAAAAATGACTCAAGCTTTATTTCCCCGATTTCTCTTCCTCTCACAATGGGATTGGGGGGGGTGCTGGCCATGCCTCTTGGGTCCCTGCCCACAGCTCTGAGGTAGAAGCAGACGTGTTCTAACTTCACCGGGAGCCTTCTTGTGTCACCGGCGAGCTAGAGCAGCCACCTAGACTGTTACTGATGGTTAATTCCTGCCAGTCTGATTCAGCTCTGACCAGAATATGCAAAGCAAGTTTGCGAAGGAAGTGCTGGCTTCAAAGGGCTGGCGGGGAGCAGGCTGCACTGTGGTCAAAGCTGTTAGAGGCTCCAAGCTATTAGTGCTCGCTTTAGCTGGGGCAGCTTGGCAGGGAGGTGTTCCGAGAGAGAGAAAGCCCAGATGTGGGGTCCTGATGATGACTTGTGACCTCAGCACAGCATCACTGATGTCACAGCATGTAGGGGGAAGGGCGATCCCCATACAAGGCTGGAAAGCAGATGGGCCCTGGGACAATGCCTTGTATTCTTGAAGGTCGTCCTACCTGGGCCGTGGACCACCAATCAGGCTCCTCCTTCCTGGGAAGCACCCCTCCATTCACCCGTGAGTCCTACTTCTGGGCACTAAAGAGGCTGACTCTCGGGCACCTGAATGAGACACAGCTGTGCTACTATGTGAGCAGACACTCAGCACAACTTGAATCTATCATTTCTGGTGCCTAGAGAGGTGAAGTGTAAATATTTATCCATTGAGTTAGGGGCAGACGCGGGTTCAGGGAAATGAAGCAACCTGCCTAGGACACAGCACCCAGGAATGTGGGACAACAAAGGACGAGTTCTGAGGGCATCTGACTCCCCAGTCTCCTAACAAGCCAATCTCTCTCTCTCTCTCTCTCTCTCTCTCTCTCTCTCTCTCTCTCTCACACACACACACACACACGGTTAGCAGTAAGTTTCTGCTAAGAAAACACAGGTTATGTGATATTTTTCCTTCTGCTACGCAGACCTGAAGGGCTCCATGAAGAGTGTGGTCCCCAGCCTGGGGGCTCCTCAGTCTCCCACAGCACCTGAGGATCAGCTGCTGTAAGGGTCAAGTGTTTAAAAGGCCACTGGAAGAATAACCAGGGCCGGTTCCTTTCCTGGCCTTGGGGGGGAAATGATCTGAAGAGATAAGGGACTGGGCCAGCCAGGCATGAGACCAATATTGACAGCATGCCAGACCCACACTAAGGCACTGTCAACTTTGGAACCAGGACTGCAGACTAAGGCAGGGTCCCATCTCCAGAGATGCTCTCAAACCCTTCCTTGTCCTGAAGCCTGCCCAGTGGCACCCATCTGCCACCTGCTTCAGAGGGTCACTTTTGTGGATATTACATGGAAACAGGGACCCTGGCCATGCAGTTGGTGGCCCGTGTCCGTGACCCACATGTTTAGACATGTGTCCATGCTCATAGGACATGAGTTCTATCTCTTACCTACCTCCTGGAGGCTGTTTGGTTTGGGGAGACTCAGAACAAAGAGGAAGGGGTTTGTTCACCCTGTCTGCAGCTGATCGCCCACCCCTAGCCTTCAAGGAACCCAGCTCAGGTGTGTACAGCCTGGGGACTGGTGTGCACCAGGGGCAGAGCAATTACATCCATCCACAGTGAGCTACCGGCCACAGCATCTCTCCATCTCTCCCTGGCCACTGCCTCTCACCCTTCTTCCCTGTCCTGCCCCTGTTACACAGCCCTTCTGTGTGTCAGTCCTCTCGGGGTAAAACTCCCTTTTCAAAAAGACCAAGTGGGGGGACCTGGGTCCTGGTTGCCAGAAGAGGGATGCTCCTGGCTCCAAAATGCTCCATAAAGAGCACGCAGGGAGTGGGGCAATCCCATGTAGTTAGTTTCAGGCACAGAAAGTCGGGGGGGGGGGGCTGCTCTCTGCCTCTCTTCGCTTTTACCCTGCTCCTAGGACAGCAGGAATTCACAGAGAGGCCCCATTCTCCCTGCTGGTGCTGATTTGGGCTGGCCTCCTGAAGACTTGAGCCAGGAATGGGAAATCCAAGGCCTGCTTGTGGGGAGGGAGGGACGGAGGGAGAGAGGCCACAGACAGGGAGCTGGCCATGGAAAATGAGCCCTCACGAAGTGTCCTAGAGGACAGAATGAGTAAAGACATCAGTCAGGAAGAAGGGGGTACGGCAGGGGTACTGAGAAGCCTGGCTACTACACAGCGGGCCGAAGGACTCAGCCCCCAGGGACCCTGGCTGGGTAATGGGTGGGGGGCACACGCATGGGGACGTGGTGTGCCCACCGAGGCCCAGGGTGGACAGAGCCCCCTCAGAGCCCCTTTATGCGCCCCGCCCGTCCGTCCTCCTCGGGTTTCGGGCTCTGCGCTTCGAGCCGCCCTCTGCCAGGAAGAGTCACTTCCCGGCCACCGCGGGAGCCCAGGAGCAGCTATGCGAAGAATGTCCGCGCGGAGCGCAGGCAGGGCGGTCCCTTCGGGCCCCGCTCCCAACACGCCCACTCCGCAAAGCCACGCCCCAGACACGCCCGACACGCCCCCTCCCGCGCAGCGCCGTCGCCGTGGCAACAGGATTACAGGCGCAGAGCGCTGTTTATTCTCAGCCCGGTGCCAGGAAACCCGGCCGGGAGGCGGCCCGGCGCACCTCCCTGGGTGGGGTGGCGAGGCGTGGGGCGGAGGGGTGGGGGAGCCCGTCATTGGTCACAAGGGTCACTGACCCCCGGGAGGCGACACAGAAAGCTTTGCCTCCCCTCCCGGCCCCACCGGAGCCGAGAACACCTTCCAGGCTAGTGGATCAAAGCCCGCCCTCCCTGTCCAAGCGGGGAGCCCCTCTGTTCCCTCTCTTAGCCACTCAGCAGACATCTGCCCAATACGTCCTGTGATTCAGGGAATGTTCTAGGTCCGGGGGAGTTGGAGTTCGGCAAGACGAGGCCTGCTGGTGTTTGGCTCCCATTGCTTCCCAGGAGTTAAGTTTGAGTGGGAGAAAGCAAAAACCTAGCAAGCATGTACATTAAATAAATAAGGACTGCCGTCAGGTCAGAAGTTCACTCCACAGCCACGGAACTTTGCCACGGAAAGCCACTGGCTTGGTTAACCCTCCTCCTCCCCCGAAGCCTGATAAAGGGCAAAGGCACTGGCTGACTCCAGTCAGAATATATCCATGTGGTTCTGATGGAGAAACTCAGGCCCCAGATCCAAGGACAGTCCAAAACAGGGTTTTGGAAGTGGTTAGACAGAGTCAGACTGTTCGAATCCTCTCTCGGTGTCCCCCAGGCCTCCTGACTGGTCCCCAGGGGGGCTAGAACAATTGCTTCGATTCCTGGACTCCAACCGCAGGTCTTGTGAATCACATGCATTAGGGAGATCTGGAGCCTGAGAATCCCAGGTCCTCCCGAGTGACCCACCTGCTGCTCACTTTGGGGAAGGCAAGCCTGTGTTTCCGTTCTTCCTGGAAAGGGAATTTCTTCCTAGCACCTTGACTAAGCTCAGGCTGGAAAGTGAAGTGGGGACAGAAGGAAGGCCTGGAGCTCACCACAGCTGTGGCAAGCCTGGACAGGCACAGCCCTTTGTGGTCCCCAGGCTCCAGACCCAGAGGCCCTGAGCCCAAGGACAGCAGGGGCTGTGGAGGAGGACACTCCTTAGCACTGAGTCCTCCCAGCTGTACTGTGCTGGGAATGGGCCAGGCGTTTGTGAAATCCTCGGGTGAGCCTGACCCACTCTCATGAGGACGGCCTGTGGAAGCTATGCTGGGAGGGGGATGGGGGCTGTTCCCAGAAGCAGGGAGAACTCTGGACTTCCCACTCCTGCACTCTGTGGATTGCAGCACAGACTTAAGCAATTGCTGCCGCCTGGAAGGCAGCTTGCAGAGAGGAGCTGAGACCCCAGGCTATTCTCACACGGGGCCAGGGTTCTGGATGCACAAAGTTGATTGCAGCAAGGCAGGCAAGCCAGCTTTAGGAACACTCAGATCTTATCTTATTACACATATTTATTGTGTGTGTGCATGCCTGTATGCATATTTGTGCCTCAGTGAGCCTGTGGAGGTCAGGAGACATTTTGCAGAAGTCTGTTTCCTCCTTCTACCATGTGGGTCTTGGATAGAATTCATGCTGTCAGGCTTGGCTGAGCTATCTCATCGGCCCTAGAAACACAAAGATTTTTTTTTTTAAATCATGTATATGTAATGGTGTGTGTAAGACTTTTAAATCCCAGCACTAGCAGGGCAGAGGCAGGCAGATCTCTGTGAGTTCAAAGCCAGCTTGGTTTATAGAGCTCGTTCTGGAACATCCAGGGCTGTACAGAGAAACCCCCACCTCAACAGTTACCTCTAGATATGCATATTACACACAAACAGTGAAAACATTTTAAAATATAACTATTATTTATGTTTTGGCTCTTGAAGACAAGGTCTCACTGTGTAGCTCTGGCTGGTCTGGAACTCAACCCACCATTCCCAACTCTATATATTTTTCTTTTAAAAAATTACATTTATTTGTGCATATGAACCTGTGTGAATTTGTGTGCGTGTGTGTTTGCGTGTGCAACCATGTGCATGTATATGTGCCTGTATACACATGCTGTGATACCCATGTGAAGGTCAGAGGAATATGGCAGTATTCAATTCTCTCCTTCTACCATATGGGTCTGGGGGGATGGAACACGGTTGTCCCATGGCAGGCAGGAGCCTTTGTCTACTGAGCCATCTCCATGACCTTTCACCTTCTTTTTGAGACAGATTTCTTCACTGCATCTGAAACTGACCTATTTGGTAAGACTGGCTACCCTGTGAACTCTAGGACTCCGCCTGTTTCCAATTCGCCATGCTGGGGTTGCAGGTACATTCTCCCATGCCTGGCTTTTACGTGGTGCTGGCGACCTGAACTCATCCAAGATCCCTGCTTCCAGCATGCACTCTACCCACTGAGCTATCTCCCCCAGGCCCGAAACGCCCAGATTTAAAAGGAAAACACCACAATACAGGTTTGTTACAGCTAGCATAGGCTGGCCTCCAACAGGTAGCCAAGGATGGC